TATATATTACTAAATGTAAAAGGAGAAACTTTAGTTTTTCCTTTTGGGCCACCCTGCCTTGGTGGGATACGGCCGGTGTGTTGAAAAAAAAAATCAGCAGCTTTTGAAGATGGTCATTTTATATCTGCAAGATTGTTATGACTTGCAAAGGTCAGGAAAATCCAATACTTTTCCAGAGAAAGGTACTCGTGAATTAGTCCTTTCTTCAGTAATTATCACATTAACATATACCAAGGTTACATTGGTGTTCTCTGCTGGTGCCTCTGGCATGACTAACTCGATTACCTCGTCTTCAGCTTCTCGTGGGGTCACAGGTCTGACTGCTGAGGACATGTGTATTCTGAGGAGTGACAGGCTCATCCACATATTCAAGTGTAGTCAGAGGTGTGACTGGTGGCAGATCAGTAGCTCCATGTGTGCTAGCAAGGATGGCTAGCTCCTCCACAACTGGTAACAGAAGGCAGTCTGGTGTAACCACACACATTTACAGGGAGAATGGCCTCCCCCTCAGTTACCATTAAAGGACTGTTATACTAGTGAGCTCCGCCTCTTCTCTCATAAGATCTCCTCACCTTGACAGTAGACGTCTCCATGCTGTTGCTTCAGCTTCACAATATTCCAGACTGAGCAACAGAACTCTTTTCTAGAATGAGGGACTGACCATCTCAAAAGTACGTTTTCTAGGGTGATGAACTGATTACAACATCTTTACATGTCTACTGCCTCTGTATTCGACTGAAGAAGTCTACTGTGTGAGCGAAACTCCTCGGAATAAAGATACCAAATTGTTGCACATGTCTTGCTTTTCGACTTGTTGGTAGTTTATACCATTATCATGTTTATACTGAAAGGCATATATGTGTCTGACATATTCTGGGAATTAACTTAAATCCCCATTTTTTGGGGAAAGATACGTTACAACAGTCGCTCTGTAGTTAGTGTACAGGTCAAGCTCAATTAAAGACTCCCGCTCATGCAAAATGCTATCCCGTTCAACACATTAATTTCTACCCACGCTTGAGTACAACTGTGGAGATGCAATTTGACCAATTTTAATAAGGAAATTGTGTGGTATTGTGCGTAAAGATATAGAATATTAGGATTTTGGGGTTAAAGTTGATGGGGCACACCTCTCTGGAGTCACTTTGGTCACAGAACTACACCTGGCTGTTAAAAATTTTGGACAGGTTTTAATTATATGTTTGTGTGTGTGTACTCTCCTAATTGTACTTACCTAATTGTGGTTGCAGGGGTCGAGACTCAGTTCCTGGCACCGCCTCTTCACTGACCGCTACTGGATCCTCCCTCCCCCTGCTCCATGAGCTTTATCATACCTCGTCTTAAAACCATGTATGGTTCCTGCCTCCACTACATCACTTGCCAGACTATTCCACTTCCTAACAACTTTGTGGCTGAAGAAATACTTCCTAACATCCCTTTGGCTCATCTGAGTCTTCAGCTTCCAACTGTGAGCCCTTGTTTCTGTGTCCCATCTCTGGAACATCCTGTCTCTGTCCACCTTATCCATTCTACGCAGTATTTTGTATGTCGTTATCATGTCACCTCTGACCCTCCAGTCCTCCAGTGTCGTCAGCCCGATTTCCCTTAACTTTTCTGGAACCAGCTCTGGAACCAGCCTTGTTGCAAACCTTTGCACTTTCTCTAATTTCTTGACGTGCCGGGGTGTTTGTGGGGAAAGCTCACTCTGCCAAGCTCACTGTTGCTCACTCTGCCAAGCTCACTGTTGCTCACACTGCCAAGCTCAAGGCCACTCTCAACTAGTTGCTCACTCTGCCAAGCTCACTGTTGCTCACTCTGCCAAGCTCACTGTTGCTCACTCTGCCAAGCTCACTGTTGCTCACACTGCCAAGCTCACTGTTGCTCACTCTGCCAAGCTCACTGTTGCTCACTCTGCCAAGCTCACTGTTGCTCACACTGCCAAGCTCACTGTTGCTCACTCTGCCAAGCTCACTGTTGCTCACTCTGCCAAGCTCACTGTTGCTCACTCTGCCAAGCTCACTGTTGCTCACACTGCCAAGCTCACTGTTGCTCACATCTGCCAAGCTCACTGTTGCTCACACTGCCAAGCTCACTGTTGCTCACTCTGCCAAGCTCACTGTTGCTCACACTGCCAAGCTCACTGTTGCTCACTCTGCCAAGCTCACTGTTGCTCACTCTGCCAAGCTCACTGTTGCTCACTCTGCCAAGCTCACTGTTGCTCACTCTGCCAAGCTCACTGTTGCTCACACTGCCAAGCTCACTGTTGCTCACTCTGCCAAGCTCACTGTTGCTCACTCTGCCAAGCTCACTGTTGCTCACTCTGCCAAGCTCACTGTTGCTCACTCTGCCAAGCTCACTGTTGCTCACACTGCCAAGCTCACTGTTGCTCACTCTGCCAAGCTCACTGTTGCTCACTCTGCCAAGCTCACTGTTGCTCACTCTGCCAAGCTCACTGTTGCTCACCTGCCAAGCTCACTGTTGCTCACTCTGCCAAGCTCACTGTTGCTCACTCTGCCAAGCTCACTGTTGCTCACTCTGCCAAGCTCACTGTTGCTCACATCTGCCAAGCTCACTGTTGCTCACTCTGCCAAGCTCACTGTTGCTCACACTGCCAAGCTCACTGTTGCTCACTCTGCCAAGCTCACTGTTGCTCACACTGCCAAGCTCACTGTTGCTCACACTGCCAAGCTCACTGTTGCTCACACTGCCAAGCTCACTGTTGCTCACTCTGCCAAGCTCACTGTTGCTCACTCTGCCAAGCTCACTGTTGCTCACACTGCCAAGCTCACTGTTGCTCACTCTGCCAAGCTCACTGTTGCTCACTCTGCCAAGCTCACTGTTGCTCACACTGCCAAGCTCACTGTTGCTCACTCTGCCAAGCTCACTGTTGCTCACTCTGCCAAGCTCACTGTTGCTGATGCAGGACCTACCACACCTGAAATATTATTATTACATGTATTACTATTAATAATTATAATAATATTTCATTCACTGGGAGACGCTAAACCTGTAATGGTGGTAAACCCGTCTGGAGAAGCTAAGATAATTTATCTGGTAAAAGGAAAGGAAGGTTAACTCTAGTTCCATAGAGATTGAGACACTGATGCAGCATCTGGGAATCTTTATTGAGGAAACGTTTCGCCACACAGTGGCTTCATCAGTCCAAGACAAAGAAGAAAGGAGTAAGGAGAGGAGGAGTTTGAGGTAATCAGTCCCTCAGCCTGGAATCGATGTGTTCAGTCCATCACTCTTGTAGAAAGTACAGCAAATGACCGGAGAAATGCATTATATATTGTAGTCAGGTGAGTGGAAGCAGGAGGCGGCGGGGTCACAGTGGAACCATCCACTAGTGAAGAATTCCTTGTATCAAGATCTCATGAATGGTATTGAAAACCATTTATCACTTCAACTTGTTGGTTTTCAATACCATTCATTACATCTGTCAGACACTGCAACATCATGAGATCTTGATACAAGGAATTCTTCACTAGTGGATGGTTCCACTGTGACCCCGCCGCCTCCTGCTTCCACTCACCTGACTACAATATATAATGCATTTCTCCGGTCATTTGCTGTACTTTCTACAAGAGTGATGGACTGAACACATCGATTCCAGGCTGAGGGACTGATTACCTCAAACTCCTCCTCTCCTTACACCTTTCTTCTTTGTCTTGGACTGATGAAGCCACTGTGTGGCGAAACGTTTCTTCAGTAAAGATACCCGTCTGATGAATTAGTGTCTCGTTCTTCAACTTGTCAGTTTTCCAACCATGTATAATATCTAGTTCCATGGATCAAGAGCTCCTAAAGAATATTAAGGCACCACCTCTTTCTGTGAGGCGTGGGTCACGTGGTCTTGTGCAGTGTTCCGTCATTATCATGTTCCCACTCCAGCTATCATGTTCCCTCTCCAGCTATCATGTTCCCACTCCGGCTATCATGTTCCCACTCCAGCTATCATGTTCCCACTCCAGCTATCATGTTCCCACTCCAGCTATCATGTTCCCACTCCAGCTATCATGTTCCCACTCCAGCTATCATGTTCCCACTCCAGCTATCATGTTCCCACTCCAGCTATCATGTTCCCACTCCGGCTATCATGTTCCCACTCCGGCTATCATGTTCCCACTCCAGCTATCATGTTCCCACTCCAGCTATCATGTTCCCACTCCAGCTATCATGTTCCCACTCCAGCTATCATGTTCCCACTCCAGCTATCATGTTCCCACTCCAGCTATCATGTTCCCACTCCGGCTATCATGTTCCCACTCCGGCTATCATGTTCCCACTCCAGCTATCATGTTCCCACTCCAGCTATCATGTTCCCACTCCAGCTATCATGTTCCCACTCCAGCTATCATGTTCCCACTCCGGCTATCATGTTCCCACTCCGGCTATCATGTTCCCACTTCAGCTATCATGTTCCCACTCCAGCTCTCATGTTCCCACTCCAGCTATCATGTTCCCACTCCAGCTATCATGTTCCCGCTCCAGCTATCATGCTCCCACTCCGGCTGTCATGTTCCCACTCCGGCTATCATGTTCCCACTCCGGCTATCATGTTCCCACTCCAGCTATCATGTTCCCACTCCAGCTATCATGTTCCCACTCCAGCTATCATGTTCCCACTCCGGCTATCATGTTCCCACTCCGGCTATCATGTTCCCACTCCAGCTATCATGATCTCACTCCAGCTATCATGTTCCCACGCCAGCTGTAATGTTCCCACGCCAGCTGTAATGTTCCCACGCCAGGTGTAATGTTCCCACGCCAACTATTATGTTCCTACTCCAGCTAACATGCTCCTACGCCAGCTATTATTTCCCCACGCCAGCTATTATTTTCCCACGCCAGCTATTATTTTCCCACGCTACCTAACATGTTCCCACGCCAGCTAACATGTTCCTACGCTAGCTATCAAGTTCCTACTCCAGTTATCATGCTCCTACGCCAGCTATCATGTTCCCACCCCAGCTAACATGTTCCTTGTGTCATCTCAGGCGTGCTGGGGCGGCACTGCGATGTTCTCCAGGAAGCACAGGCATCTCATGGATGGAGTAAACAGGTCAGTGTTGACAGGTCAGTGTACCGTGTTGACAGGTCAGTGTACTGTGTTGACAGGTCAGTGTACCGTGTTGACAGGTCAGTGTACCGTGTTGACAGGTCGTGTACGTGTTGACGTCGGTCTGTTTGACAGGTCAGTGTACGTGTTGACAGGTCAGTGTACCGTGTTGAGGTCAGGTCAGTGTACGTCAGTGGTTGACAGGTCAGTGTACAGTGTTGACAGGTCAGTGTACCGTGTTGACAGGTCAGTGTACCGTGTTGACAGGTCAGTGTACCGTGTTGACAGGTCAGTGTACCGTGTTGACAGGTCAGTGTACAGTGTTGACAGGTCAGTGTACGTGTTGACAGGTCAGTGTACAGTGTTGACAGGTCAGTGTACAGTGTTGACAGGTCAGTGTACAGTGTTGACAGGTCAGTGTACAGTGTTGACAGGTCAGTGTACAGTGTTGACAGGTCAGTGTACAGTGTTGACAGGTCAGTGTACCGTGTTGACAGGTCAGTGTACAGTGTTGACAGGTCAGTGTACAGTGTTGACAGGTCAGTGTACAGTGTTGACAGGTCAGTGTACAGTGTTGACAGGTCAGTGTACAGTTTTGACAGGTCAGTGTACAGTGTTGTTCTGCTCTTGCTTCTTACAACACCAAACTTCTAATAATAAAATCTTTATGATGACAACGTTAAGATAATAACAATGTTGTCAAGATAATATCTATATTACCTACTATTTGTATAGTAAACCTTAAGGGAGCTAGTCACTTGTTGCCCTCTACTATTTCTCTCTGGCAATATAAACACAAATGCAGTATAATGTGATCCTTTATTGACTACGTTTCGCCCACACAGTGGGCTTTTTCAAGTCACAAACAGAACTACCTGGGGTGGAAGGAACGCGAGTATTTATAGTCCGGCTGAGGTCAGGTGAAGAATGCTGCATCTGATGATGTACCGAGTTGGGTTGTAGAGTCTAAAAACCAGAATAGTGGCTTCTATAACATAGCTGAACCACTTGCCAAGAAACTTCTTCATCGCTATCCCACATAAGAACACTGTAGAAGGTCTACTCACAAACTTGTCCAGTCTCCTTTCCAAGCTACCCAAGTTTTTAGACTCTACAACCCAACTCTTTGTATTGGACTGATGAAGCCACTGTGTGGCGAAACGTTTCCTGAATAAAGATTCCCATATGCTGCATAAGTGTCTCAATCTTCAACTTGTCGGTTTTTCAAACCATTCATCACACACACATCATCAGATGCAGCATTCTTCACCTGACCTCAGCCGGACTATAAATACTCGCGTTCCTTCCACCCCAGGTAGTTCTGTTTGTGACTTGAAAAAGCCCACTGTGTGGGCGAAACGTAGTCAATAAAGGATCACATTATACTGCATTTGTGTTTATATTGCCATTGTGTCGGTATTTTATACCATTTATTTCCACTATTTCTCTCTGTTTGTTGATCAAATGATTTCCATTACTAGCAACTTTATTTTGAATATTGTCTTTTAAACATATCCCTGAGGTATCCCGGTAATAACTGCTGTTTTCAACCCTAATGCTGCAGCCTGATTGTTTCCCACAAACACCCATACCTCTATAATCTATCAGTTTAAAGTCCTAGACAAGTCATCAATTACCCTCTCAATCGAACTGGCTAATGCAACCACTCCAGCCCCAGAGAGATGAACCCCCATCCCTTGCATACATATCACGTTTGCCATAGAATTTGTCCCAGTTATCAATGAATGGGATTGCAAGTTCCTTGCAGTACCTGTCTAGCCAGCAATTTATACCAATTGCCCTAGACAACCATTCATTGCCCACTCCCTTTCTAGGTAAGATGCTGCATATGACTGGGATCCCTCCCTTAGACCTGACTACTTCTATGGCTGACCTGTATTATATATATATATATATATATATATATATATATATATATATATATATATATATATATATATATATATATATATATATATATATATAATTTATTTATTTGTCTAGCTCTTACCTCCACTCTAAAAACGAGGAAACACTATCACGTTTCCTGACAAACAAAACACTGTACTTGTTAAAAACACAATGGTCAATTTTTTTCCAGTTCCTCTAAATTTTCACCTGGTGTTCAATACTTGCCCTGTGATCTCTTTCTCGTTACCAAATTAAGATGTGCTAGTGTAAGTAATGTAATATTTGTGTGTGACAGGGCTGACTCCATAACGTGGAACCCCCACAAGATGATGGGTACTTCCCTCCAGTGCTCTGTCTTCCTCACCAAACATAAGGTCAGTTTATTTTAATCAATACGAGTCAAACGTCCAGAATATTTCTTTTTTCACAGTTACCTGAATATTATCAGTGTTTCTCACAGGGTGCACTGAGAGGCACCTAAGTTCCTCCGTCTTGTAATAACATGTTCATTAGTCCATTATAATCTACCTTGTCTATAATTACTATCACATTTGCTTTGTCTGTTTGGTAAGGTGAAGTCCAGGATCTTTATTTAAGTCATGGTATAACTTAAATCATACCACGGGGGGGTTAGAGCCCGCGGTCAGAGCGTCACAAAGCTCCAGACCGACTGAGCACAAGCGGTATATATAGGACTGTACCGTAAGGTACATATGGGATATAAGGTACAATATACCATATATGAGTGAATTATATGCCATGTATAATACAAGGTATTGTATACCTTGTATGATACATAATGATATTATATACTATGTATAAATATTATTATTATTATTATTATTATTATTATTATTATTATTATCATTGTTGTTGTTGGTCATACTACGCCACAAGAATGACTCTAGTAACCACATTGTACAATGGACAACGTTTCGCTTTATTGTTCTGAGAGCGAAACATTGTGATAGTAAATTCTTATTTTGCACGTGTCTAAGGTGAAGCGTTCACCCGTAGGGGTCGTACGACGCGTGCGGCTTGAGAGTTGAATGTGTTTGATGCACTGGATGGCTCCACTGGCATGGATCAAGAGACCTTGACCTTTCACACCCACATATGTTGCACACATGTGTGTTGCACACGTGTGTTGCTCACATGTTGTGTTGCGCACATGTGTGTTGCGCACATGTTATGTGATGCGCACATGTGTGTTACGCACATATGTGATGCGCACATGTGTTACGCACATATGTGATGCGCACATGTGTGTTATGCACATGTTTGTGATGCGCACATGTGTGTTACGCACATATGTGATGCGCACATGTGATGCGCACGTGTTACGCACATGTTATGTGATGCGCACAGGTTATGTGTTCACATGTTATGTACTGCACACGTGTTGGACTCGTGACTGAGGGCTGTGTATAAACTATTCATTTACAACTAACCCTCAGTTTAGACAGGGAACTTAACACAATGTTTCGACCAATCCTGCACCATCATCAAGCCATGGTTGTATAATGAGCCAAACCAGACCCAAATGTCTTGTAAAATATCTTCTACAAATTATGGGTTCGTTTAGTGTTGTCTCAGACACGGCGCTGAGACTTGTACTTATCAAAATATCTCGCCAGTGGACTGTAACGTCTTGTAGCTGCCAATAGCACTGTCTTGTAGTTGTCAGTAGCACTTGTCTTGTAGCTGCCAATAGCACTGTCTTGTAGTTGTCAGTAGCACTTGTCTTGTAGTTGTCAATAGTACTTGTCTTGTAGTTGTCAATAGTACTTGTCTTGTAGTTGTCAGTAGCACTTGTCTTGTAGTTGTCAATAGTACTTGTCTTGTAGTTATCAATAGCACTTGTCTTGTAGTTATCAATAGTGCCTGTCTTCTGAATTTCTTTGAGTTTTCTTTTTTTTGTCCAGTAATTGGTATGTTGTTGTGGCTTGTGTTCAGGGTCTGCTGCACAAGTGCAACTCTGCCCGGGCGACGTACTTGTTCCAGCAGGACAAGTACTACGACGTCACCTACGACACGGGAGACAAGAGCGTCCAGTGTGGACGTAAGGTAGACGCCTTCAAGCTCTGGGTGTTCCTCAAGTTCCACGGCCTTGACGCCATCGAGAAAAGAATTGATGCTGCCTTCAGTGCCTCCAGGTGTGTAGTGATGCTGCCTTCAGTGTCTCCAGGCGAGTACTGATGCTGCCTTAAGTGTCTCCAGGTGAGTATTGATGCTGCCTTCAGTGTCTCCAGGTGAGTACTGATGTTACTTTCGGTGCCTCCAGGTGAGTATTGATGCTGCCGTCAGTGCCTCCAGGTGAGTACTGATGTTACTTTCGGTGCCTCCAGGTGAGTATTGATGCTGCCTTCAGTGCCTCCAGGTGAGTAGTGATGCTGCCTTCAGTGCCTCCAGGTGAGTAGTGATGCTGCCTTCAGTGCCTCCAGGTGAGTAGTGATGTTACTTTCGGTGCCTCCTGATCAATAGTGATGTTACCTTCAGTGTCTGAAGGTGAGTATTGATGCTACCTTCTTCCTTTAGCAAACTGTAATCATAGCGACGCTTACTTCCCTTGAGAGAGAGAGAGAGAGAGAGAGAGAGAGAGAGAGAGAGAGAGAGAGAGAGAGAGAGAGAGAGAGAGAGAGCCAGAGCCAAAAGAAAGGTGAGATTGTGCTTTTGTTGCCAATTGTTCCAGCTACAACAGTACGGCGTCTATTATGCATGATTATGCGAGAACCTGTAAATCATGTAATGTTCAGACTTAATCCAAGGATACAGTGTGCGGGTGTTGTGTAGGAAAGTACTGGCTGAACACTAATAGTTGTCCATGAGTGTTAGAACTGACCAACTGGCTTCCTTGAAGTTTTAAAAATTAATTTAGGTAAATATATGAGTGAGTTTTACAGTAATCTTGAGGGAATTGTAAACTCGAACCGCTGTATATTAATATCTCCGTTCAAAGCAGGTGAAATTGCAGATCTAGAGTGTACAGAGAACCTCTACTGCACACATAAGTTCCATCAAACACCTCAACTTCTGGGAACGCCTGGAAGCACTTGATTTGTACTCGCTGGAACGCAGGCGAGAGAGTTGTATCATAATCTACACTTGGAAAATCCAAAAGGAATGGTCCCGAATCTGCACACAGAAATCACTCCCTACGAGAATAAAAGACTGGGCAGGCGGTGCAAAAGACCCCAAATGAAAAGTAGGGGCGCCGTTGGTACACTAAGAGAAAACACTATAAGTGTCCGGGACCCAAGACTGTTCAACAGTCTCCCACCAAGCATAAGGGGAATTACCAATTGGCCCCTGGCTGCCTTCAAGAGGGAGCTGGACAGATACTTAAAGTCGGTGCCGGATTAGCCGGGAGCCGGGCTGTGGTTCGTACGTTGGACTACGTTCGGACAGCAGTAACAGCCTGGTTGATCAGGCCCTGATCCACCGGGAAGCCTGGTCGTGGACCGGGCCGCTGGGGCGATGATCCCCGAAATGCCCTCCAGGTAGACTCCAGGTAGGCGATACAGCGGGAAAGTTAACATGTCCAGCTATCATTCCTAATACCGAGTTAAAACAGACTCGAGTGGAGAGTGCGAGGCGAGAGGTGTGTCAGGAGGTTTGTCAGCAGGCGTGTCAGGAGGTGTTAGAAGGTCAGGTGTCAGCAGGTGTGTCAGGAGGCGTCAGGTGTGTTAGAAGGTGTCAGGAGGTGCGTCAGGAGGTGAGTCAGGAGGTGAGTCAGGAGGTTGCGTCAGGTGCATAAAGTGAGTTGGACAAATGTGAATGAAAGATCCTCTTCCAGAGATTATCGGTCTCAATATAGTACTAACACCTGATCATACAACACCTAGAGAATATCAGGTAATCTGTTCTTCTTGGAAGAGGAGGAGGGCAGCCCCGCCCCATGGATCAAGAGCACTGCACCAGCATCAAGGCCATATGAGTGAAAATAAACATCAGTGATCTCACTGCTGTCCTCCTCTCATATTGTTTTAATTATATAATAATTATTATTATTATCAAAATCAACCTGTAAAGGTTTAGGAAAACTTTGATGAAGACAAAGTTTGTTCCATACAAAAAACTTTTCTAAGTCAGTTTATAGCGGCGGAAGTTTTATTTAGAAAGTTTCTTAATGCTCACTTCGGGTCTGTCTGCTAGATAATCTATCGTTAATTATTTATTATTGTCGTGTATTTTACACTTAAGCAGGTGGGTGTGTGTGAGGGTGGGCAGCCATAGACACTGTCATATGTTGTCTCCTGACGCAGGTACCTGAGACAGAAGTGGTGTGTGTGAGGGTGGGCAGCCATAGACACTGTCATATGTTGTCTCCTGACGCAGGTACCTGAGACAGCAGGTGGGTGAGTGTGAGGGTGGGCAGCCATAGACACTGTCATATGTTGTCTCCTGACGCAGGTACCTGAGACAGCAGGTGGGTGTGTGTGAGGGTGGGCAGCCATAGACACTGTCATATGTTGTCTTCTGACGCAGGTACCTGAGACAGCAGGTGGGTGTGTGTGAGGGTGGGCAGCCATAGACACTGTCATATGTTGTCTCCTGACGCAGGTACCTGAGACAGCAGGTGGGTGAGTGTGAGGGTGGGCAGCCAATAGACACTGTCATATGTTGTCTCCTGACGCAGGTACCTGAGACAGCAGGGGGGTGAGTGTTGAGGGTGGGCAGCCATAGACACTGTCATATGTTGTCTCCTGACGCAGGTACCTGAGACAGCAGGTGGGTGTGTGTGAGGGTGGGCAGCCATAGACACTGTCATATGTTGTCTCTGACGCAGGTACCTGAGACAGCAGGTGGGTGTGTGTGAGGGTGGGCAGCCATAGACACTGTCATATGTTGTCTTCCTGACGCAGGTACCTGAGACAGCAGGTGGGTGAGTGTGAGGGTGGGCAGCCATAGACACTGTCATATGTTGTCTCTGACGCAGGTACCTGAGACAGCAGGTGGGTGAGTGTGAGGGTGGGCAGCCATAGACACTGTCATATGTTGTCTCCTGACGCAGGTACCTGAGACAGCAGGTGGGTGAGTGTGAGGGTGGGCAGCCATAGACACTGTCATATGTTGTCTCCTGACGCAGGTACCTGAGACAGCAGGTGGGTGTGTGAGGGTGGGCAGCCATAAACACTGTCATATGTTGTCTCCTGACGCAGGTACCTGAGACAGCAGGTGGGTGTGTGAGGGTGGGCAGCCATAAACACTGTCATATGTTGTCTCCTGACGCAGGTACCTGAGACAGCAGGTGGGTGTGTGAGGGTGGGCAGCCATAGACACTGTCATATGTTGTCTCCTGACGCAGGTACCTGAGACAGCAGGTGGGTGAGTGTGAGGGTGGGCAGCCATAGACACTGTCATATGTTGTCTCCTGACGCAGGTACCTGAGACAGCAGGTGGGTGAGTGTGAGGGTGGGCAGCCATAGACACTGTCATATGTTGTCTCCTGACGCAGGTACCTGAGACAGCAGGTGGGTGTGGTGAGGGTGGGGCAGCCATAACACTGTCATATGTTGTCTCCTGACGCAGGTACCTGAGACAGCAGGTGGGTGTGTGAGGGTGGGCAGCCATAGACACTGTCATATGTTGTCTCCTGACGCAGGTACCTGAGACAGCAGGGGGTGGTGTGAGGGTGGGCAGCCATAGACACTGTCATATGTTGTCTCCTGACGCAGGTACCTGAGACAGCAGGTGGGTGAGTGTGAGGGTGGGCAGCCATAGACACTGTCATATGTTGTCTCCTGACGCAGGTACCTGAGTCAGCAGGTGGGTGTGTGTGAGGGTGGGCAGCCATAAACACTGTCATATGTTGTCTCCTGACGCAGGTACCTGAGACAGCAGGTGGGTGAGTGTGAGGGTGGGCAGCCATAGACACTGTCATATGTTGTCTCCTGACGCAGGTACCTGAGACAGCAGGTACCTGAGACAGCAGGTGGGCGAGTGTGAGGGTGGGCAGCCATAAACACTGTCTTATGTTGTCTCCTGACGCAGGTACCTGAGACAGCAGGTGGGTGAGCGTGAAGGTTTCCGGCTGGTGCAGGAGCCTCAGTGTACCAATGTATGCTTCTGGTACATCCCACCCAGCCTCAGAGGACTACCAGAGACACCAGAGTGGTGGGTCAAACTCTCTAAGGTAAGCTGTGTCAAAGAGAATATGTTGGGGAGAATGTGTCAAATAAAGTGCAATAGGGTGGGCTAAATTGGGATGGCCTGACTATGGGTCAGGTAGGTGACCTTGGTTGCCAATATGACGTTTTTCAGAGCATAGTTCTAGCTGCACAGACAACTTTTTTTTCCGAATAGAGAAATTAGATCTAACAAAAATTATCCCAAATGGATGAACAATATATTAAAACATCTCATTGGTCAAAAGAGAGGCATATATAGGCGTATCAAAAGAGGAAGGGCAGTTAAGAAATAAATATATTCAATTAAATAGAGAAATAAAACAAGAATAAGAAAATCAAAAAGGGATTATGAGGCTAAGGTTGCAAGGGATTCGAAGACTAACCCAAAAGGGTTCTTTCAGGTATACAGAAGATTAAGGACAAGATAGGCCCACTTAAGAGTAACTCAGGTCAGATCACTGACAGTGATAAGGATATGTGTGAAGTTTTCAATACTTACTTCCTCTCAGTTTTTACCCAGGAAAATACTAGCGATATTCCTGAAATAATAGATTATGTAGAACAGGACGATGATAAACTCAGACAAATAGAGAAATTAAAACCTAACAAATCCCCAGGCCCTGATGAACTGTTTGCAAGAGTGTTCAAGGAATGTAAAGAGGAATTTAGCATACCTTTGGCTAATCTTTTTAACTTATCACTAGAAACTGGCATAGTGCCTGAAAAGTGGAAAATTGCAAATGTAATACCTATTGACAGGGCAGGTGATAGGTCCTTAGCTTCGAACTATAGACCAATAAGCCTTACCTCCATAGTGGGAAAATTTATGGAATCAATAATTACCGAAGCAATTCATAGCCATCTTGATAGGCATAAATTAATGAATCTCAACACGGTTTTACAAAGGGGCTTTCCTATCTTAAGATTTTACAAACTTTTTTCACTAAGGTGTTTGAGGAGGTAGATCATGGTACTCATTATGATATTGTGTGTGATGAATGGTTTTGAAAACCGACAAGTTGACGATTGAGACACTCGTGCAACATATGGGAATCTTTATTTAGGAAACGTTTCGCCACACAGTGGCTTCATTAGTCCAATACAAAGCAGAAAAGTGTAAGGTGAGGAGGAGTTTGAGTTAATCAATCCCTCAGCCTGGAGTCGATGTGTTCAGTCCATCGATCTTGTAGAATGTACAGCATAGGACCGTAGACGTGGCTTATATAATGTAGTCAGGTGAGCCGAAGCAGGAGGAGGCGGGGTCATAGTGGTACCATCCACTAGTCGAAGTAGGTCTTCGTCGAAAGGTTGGACAAGTTAGAAGAATTCTTTATATCAAGATTCCATGATGATGCAGTGTCTGACAGTTGTGATGAATGGTGTTGAAAACCGACAAGTTGAAGATTGAGACACTTATGCAACATATGGGAATCTTTATATAGGAAACGTTTCGCTACACATTGGTGAAACGCCTCCTCCTGCTTCGCCTCACTTGACTACAGTATATAAGCCACATCTACGGCCTTATGCTGTACATTCTACAAGATTGATGGACTGAACACATCGACTCCAGGCTGAGGGACTGATTACCTCAAACTCCTCCTCACCTTACACCTTTCTGCTTTGTATTGGACTGAGGAAGCCACTGTGTGGCGAAACATTTCCTAAATAAAGATTCCCATATGTTGCATACATGTCTCAATCTTCAACATGATATTGTGTATATGGACTTCAGTAAGGTTTTCGACAAAGTTCCATATCAGAGGCTACTGAGGAAATAGGAGGAGAAATTTTTTCCTGGGTACAGGCATGGCTGATAAATAGGCAGCAGAGAGTTCGCTTAAATGGGGAGAATAAATGAGGGAATAAATAGCGACATAAGCAAATTTGCTGATGGCACCAAAATAGGCCGTCCAATTCATTCTAATGAGGACACGAGAGCACTCCAGGATGATTTGAATAGACCGATGCAATGATCGGAGAAGTGGCAGATGCAGTTTAACATAGACAAATGCAAAGTTCTAAATGTTGGACAGGAAAATAACCATGCCACATATAAACTAAATAATATAGATTTTAATACTACTGATTGTGAAAAGGATTTAGGAGTTCTGGTTAGCAGTAATCTAAAACCAAGACAACAGTGCATTAGTGTTCGCAATAAACCTAACATTATTCTTGGCTTCATATCTAAAGTATAAATAACAGAAGTCCTCAGGTTCTTCTTCAACCCTATATATCCTTCTTTAGGCCTCATTTAGATTATTCTGCACAGTTCTGGTCACCGTATTACAGAATGGATATAAATGTACTGGAAAACCTACAGAAATCAGAAAATGTATCAGAAATCTTCCCTATGAGGATAGACTGAGGGCCCTGAATCTGCACTCTCTAGAACATAAGAACGAAGGAACACTGCAGAAGGCCTACTGGCCCATGCGAGGCAGGTCCAAGTCTCATACCGGCTTAAGCCAATGCACCCAACCTAGTCAGGTCAGGTCACATTGACTTAAGGGAGGAACACGGCAACCGACCTGGTAACACAAGCTATCAGGTCCAACTCTCACCCACCCACATCCACTCATGTATTTATCCAACCTATTTTTAAAGCTACACAACGTTCTGGCCTCTATAATTGTACTCGGGAGTTTGTTCCACTCATCCAAAGGCATAGAATTAGGGGGAATATGATTGAGGTGTATAAATAGAAAACGGGAATAAATAAAGTGGATGTAAATAGCGTGCTGAAAATTTCCGGACAAGACAGGACTCGCAGCAATGGTTTCAAGTTGGAAAAATTTAGATTCAGGAAGGATATAGGAAAGCACTGGTTTGGTAATAGAGTTGTGGATGAGTGGAACAAACTCCCGAGTACAGTTATAGACGCTAAAACGTTGTGTAATTTTAAAAATAGTTTAAATAAATACATGAGTGGGTGTGGGTGGGTGTGAGTCGGACCTGACTAGCTTGTGCTACTAGGTCTGATGCTGTGCTCCTTCCTTAAGTGGAAGTGACCTGACTAGGTGGGTCATTGGGCTAATCCGGGGGGACCTGCTTCGCATGGGTCACTAGACCTGCTGCAGTGTTCCTTCTTACTTGTGTTCTTATGAGTGTGAGACAAACTGTTTTATTTTACACTGTTATGTTGTCCCTCATTACTTTGATAGTAAGGTTCTCACTGCATGTTCTAGTGTGGGGTAACTTTTTACATACAGACCTTATCAGTCTAGGGTAATATTTACATTCTTGACTGATCATCCTCAGTCTCTGAAATCCTTTCACCAGCCCTCTTCACAGGTTATTTAAACTACTTCTACCTCAAAATAGATACTTATATTCAGGTAGATATATACAGAATATACAATATACAAAACATAAATCTACACACTCCTTAGCTGCTCTCCTGGGAACAGCCCACATGATGCATCTGAACAACTTACCCTTCTCTCTTCTTGACTAATCTCTGGACTAACCAGTGTTTTGACACACTTTAGTCACCTTGGGTATGGTGGCCACAACTTAAGGTATAAAACTCACCCCTGGGACACACAATAATGCCCAAAGACATAGAAGGACTCAGAGGTCCTACCATCTTGAAGCCAACAACAGTGTGAGAGGAGAGAGAGGAGCCTAGCTAAGCTCCTCCCACACCCACCAAACAAAAGACTGTTGCCTAGCACAATTCTCTAGTTACCACAATTCTACCACCTCTTAGTTTACTTTTACAAAAAGAAATACAACTTTATAAATTACTTATTTAAATTGTGTGTGTCTATAGTATAACTTATTATATTGAGAAAAACAGGCTTGACTCGGGTGCATTACAGCCATAAGGGTGATCTGCCCTTATGATATTTAGGCCGAGTCCCCATCAATTCAATATAATTAGGTATCCCAGACTAACTGTTACTTGTATACATCAGTATATGTTGGGTCCCATAGTCCCATAATATACACGTATGAATTTACAAGTTCAGGGTTGTTACCCCACATGAATTTATATCAGATACCTTCTTAATGTGATGAATGGTTTGAAAAACCGACAAGTTGAAGATTGAGACACTTATGACTCATGAACAGTGGCAACAACCGCAAGAAAACAAGCGAGGATCGAAGCAGAGTCCTTCAATGTATGAGGTGAGGGCGCTACCAACTGAGCCACGGGCATGAATGTACCCCTGAGACTGATGACATTGGTCAACAGTTACCATTAATTGTTTTCTCTAAATATTCGAAAAATTGACTAAGACTCTAGAACTGATATAATCTGTAAAGTGCCGTCAGATGTAAGGTAAAGTGCAGCCAGATTTAAGATAAAGGACAGTCAGATGTAAGATAAAGTGCAGCCAGATGTAAGATAAAGTGCAGCCAGATGTAAGATAAAGTGCAGCCAGATGTAAGATAAAGTGCAGCCAGATGTAAGATAAAGTGCAGTCAGATGTAAGATAAAGTGCAGTCAGATGTAAGATAAAGTGCAGTCAGATGTAAGATAAAGTGCAGCCAGATGTAAGATAAAGTGCAGTCAGATGTAAGATAAAGGGCAGTCAGATGTAAGATAAGTGAGTCAGATGAAGTAAATCAGCAAGTAAGTAAAGTGAGCAGATGTAAGTAAGTGAGCCAGATGTAAGTAAAGTGCAGTCATGTAAGATAAAGTGCAGCCAGATGTAAGATAAAGGGCAGTCAGATGTAAGATAAAGGGCAGTCAGATGTAAGATAAAGTGCAGTCAGATGTAAGATAAAGGGCAGTCCCGATGTAAGATAAAGTGCAGCCAGATGTAAGGTAAAGTGCAGCCAGATGTAAGGTAAAGGAGCAGATGTAAGAAAAATGCAGTAAGTGTAAGATAAAGGGCATAGAAGGAAAAGTGTTGCCAGATGTAAGGTAAAGGCAGCCAATGTAAAGGGAAAATGTAGCCAGATGGTAAGGTAAATGAGCCAATTAAGTAAAAGGGCTCAGATGTAAGTAAAGTGCAGCCAATGTAAGGGGAAGTGTAGCCAGATGTAAGGT